GAACTATATATGTGAATATGAACTAGCGTTCTATTTTTCGTATAGTAATGCAGTATAATCTTTAACATTTTCATGCTGACAATTGTTACACAGAAAACAAAGAAGAAAAAGAATATTTTGCAAAGAAACTAGAAATAGTTGACGAAAATATAAAGAAACTGAATTCTAATAGAGAAATAAATAAAATCACTATACCATATGATCACATCTTTAAACTGTACATGAAATTACATTATAAATATTGTTTTAATTGTTCATTTTGTCAAACTCATAATATTAAATAATTGTGTTATGGACGTGCGCCATTATCAATTGAAGAATCTATCAAGTATCACGCAGAGTTTTGCTGTGAAGGAAACGAAAAATTAAGGAAAAAAATTGAAAAAGAAATTGAATTTATCGAAAAAAAAGAAAGAAGGAAAAAAATATAAAAAACATGATAGTTTATTGTAATAGTTTGTGTACAGATTAAATTGCAAGCTTTATTCATTTTCATACTGACATTTAATGGAAAATACCTGATTTATCTTGGAAAAAATGGATGAAAACAAAAAATAGTATTGTGAATGAAATATATAGAAAATTATTTTATAAATATTGTTTTTATTGTAAAGATAATTGTTTTCTGTAAAGAAAAAGAAATGGTAAAAAGAAAAAAACACTTTATATTATTACGAAACTATATAAACACTGTAGTGTAAAATTTTATAATCAAAACTAGATATGGGGTATGAACACATCTATAAACTATACAACAAATTACATTCTAAATATTGTTTTTCCTGTTCATCGTGTCAAAGTCATAAAATTAAGTTAATTTACTTTGGTCATACACCATTATCAAATGAAGATGCTATCAAGTATCATGCAGAATTTTGTTGTAAAGAAATTGAAGAATTAAAGAAAAAAGTTGAAGAAGAAATTAAATATATCGAAGAAGAAAAAGAAAAAAGGAAAAAAAATAAAAGAATATACAAGAAAGAACTTAAAGAAATAAAAATGGCAAGATCGCTATTTAAAACCTCATGTAAATTTTTTTAAAAGAGAAAAAAACACTTCAAATCAATAAAAATGGATGAAAATAAAAATAGTATTGCAAATGAAAGATATAGAAAATTATTTTATAAATATTGTTTTTATTGTAAAGAATGTCAAAGATATCAAATGGAAGCTTTATATAGTGTTTCATTACCAAAAAATCCAACACATTGTGTTTTTCATCATTAGTATGTTTGCTGTAAAGAAAAAGAAGAAATAAAAAAAATTGAGGAAGAAATTAGTTTTATTGAAGACGAAAGGAAAGAAAAAACTTAAAACCAATATGTCATATAAAACATACCATACAAGCAAAATCAATACAGAATACAGCAAATTGTTTTATAAATATTGTTATCATTGCAAAATATGTTTTTATTACGAAATTTATTTGAGTTTGAAAAATTTACCAACACCAACTGCAGCAGAAAGTATTGATTATCATGCAAACGTTTGCTGTAAAGACAAAAAAGAATTAAAAAGAAAAATTGAAGAAGAAATTCAATCGATAAAAGAAGAAGAAGAAGAAAGAGGAAAAATAAAAGATGTGTTAAGAAAGAACTTAAAGAAATAAAAAGAAAGAAAAACACATTATTTTATTTTTCTTTTTTTTAAGAAATTTAAATTATTGAATGGAACAAAATAAAAGTGATTATTTTCTTGAAAATAAAAGTGATATTTTCTTGAAAATGAAAGATATAAAAAATTATTTTATAAATATTGTTTTTATTGTAAAAAATGTCAAAGATCTCAAAAACATTTAAATAACGCGTCATTACCAGTATACCCATCAGATTTTATTTTTTATCATACATATACTTGCTGTAAAGAAAAGAAAGAATTACAAAAAAAATTGAAAAAGAAGTTAATTCTATTCATAAAGAAAGAAATTATACAACGGTAAGATAATGTTATTAACAAAACTCAAATCAGAATATATTCATTTTTAACCAAAGTTTTGTTGTATTACAGAAAGAAAATACAAAAAAAAGAAAAAATGAATGAAAGTATTGATATAAAAACAAGGCTACAAGAATTATCTTCATTTATAAAAACAACAAATAGTTTACTGCAAAAAGAAATAAAAGAAATAAATATATGATAACAAAAAGAGAAAAAGAACATTTTTTACATTCTTACAAATTACTTGATAAAATTATTGAATTAGAAAAAAAAGATAAAAATGTTTTATCTGAAAAATCAACATCTGATGAAGCAACTGGATTATTTGGCAAATCTAGTGCTCAAAAAACATTTATTTTACTAAGTAAAGAAGAAAAACCAGAAGCATTTGGTGAAGGTAAAAAAACAGTTGATTTACCCAGTAAGGAGGAAAATCTCTTAACATTCGATGGATCTTGTCAATCAAAATTCGGTGGTGTGCCCATGGGTTCATGGGTTCATGGTCGACCTAGTGGTTTATTTTAAAAAACTTTTTTTTTAATATATCATTTTAAATTGTAAAAACATGTAATAAATTGTTTATCTTGATTAAAATTGTTTTGCAATTTTTTACATTTTTTTTCATTTTTTTATATTATTAAATTTACTTTTTTTCAATTTATTTCAACTTTTTTCAACTTTTTCAGTAAATTTCATTTTTTTACAATTTTCTCTATAATTATACTTTTTTCTATATCTACTTGTATCATAAATATTCAATCACTCGAAGAGAGAAGATGTCTTTCAAAAGTAGAATTAATTCAATTATTCAAGATCTGAAATTTTTTTGGAAATATGATGGTCAATACTTGTTTATGACAAGTCTTCTTCATATTGGATTTCTTTTCTGTCTTCATAAAGCAACAACGTGTTTGGTTCAGCCTGCTAATATTGGTGCTTGCGATTAATTTTATTTCCACTTTTTTTTTGGTAAGCATATTTTAATTTTTATTATTTATTAACATTATGACACTTACTTGTTTATCCTCATTTTTTTTAGAAAATTTTTTTTTAAATATTAGAATGTGTGATATACGAAGCAAGTCAGTTTATCCATGTCTTTGTATGCAGATGAAAAGTTGGTTTAAGTGGTATTGGTCCGATAATGAATTTGGTGAATTATTTGAGTCCTTTTATCGATTTTATATTGTGGATGAAGCATTGTTGCGAGACAATTTGTATCATCAATAAATTGGACTTTGGACTTTCCATATTATCATTCCAAAAATTGGACTTTGGACTTTCATCAATGTAATTATTTTGTATTGTATTTGAAATATATCTTTTTTTATAAAATCTTCTTGTTTATATATTTTCTATTACTCTTATTAACTTTTCTAATATATATATATGTATATTATCACAGGCTCACCCTTCTCTATTTTTATGTTTACTACCGCTGACTGCCCCAAAAACTTTCACTTCGGCTTTTTTTATTATAAGATGTATTATGACTATTTTTAGACATAATACATTTTATAATAAAAAACTTGATCTCGATTATATATATATATATATATTAGTTAACTACTCTAAAGTCAGGCTAGTTGAGAACGGTAAAAATATTCACCTCAATCGTCCCGTCCAAAAGCTCTTTCCTACTGAGTTAAAGCACGACGAAAGAGAATGTGAGCAAAAAGAGAATGAAAAAGGACTGAGAGGAAAGGAGGCAAAATACTAGGGTGGACGCAAGAGAGCCGCTGCTCTTGATTCTGTATGGAAGACACAGAGTATGCTTGATTAGTGGGACTAATCAAAGTGGGGAGTGTGTTGTAAATTTTCATGTCATATTATGTAGCATGTGGCTGTGTCTTATTATAGATTATAAGATATAACGAATATTATTAAATTGATGCAAAATACTATAGTCATGTTAAGAGAACACTTCCTCACCGCAATGCGTCATTGCGGTAGGATGTAGGTAGAAACGGAATGGCAAAGCTGCAAGTAATATGTAAACGCCTAAAACCACTTCCGAATAATTATACATAAATATAGCTTGCAAGCGTTGGTTTGGGAGTACGGAAAAGTTGACGTTATTGGTGTATGAACTGGTTATACAAATTTGATAAATTAGAGTCGTATTGCAGAAGGCAATAAATTTCGTAAACGCAGTTCTAGGATTGACGGTTGTCCGTAAAATTAACGAGATCAATTTAATTATTCCGTATCGCGAAAAACCAACGCTTGGAACGTAAAATGGTGCACAACACTGTAAATATGCTATTGAAGTGTTATAATATTATATTAAAAATACAGTCCCATCGTTAGTGTAAAGTTTGAGAACAGTGAACCAACATTTCGCACAAATTGTGCGAAAACTAATATTTAATCTGAAAAGTTAATTCAAAGATGACGAAGTGTCATTAGCATTATCTGGGTTCGGCGCAACCCCCTCACCTTCGGAGCCAACTTGTATGAAACTAACCTTCCAAAAACCTTGCATGATGAATTATCGTTGAGAATATTTTTTATATTCCAGGCGATCCCACAGTTTTTGGCAACCTACCACCAAGTGAAGAATGTGCTTGGGCGATCTGTGACGCAATAAAGTCAGGAAAGGACAACTGCTACAAGCCAGCTCATGGTTAGTTACATCAATTGCTTTGAGTGCTTCAATCACCCCTGGACCCTAACCCCCCTGGGAAATCGCTCTTCAAAAATATCATTTAACAAAGTTGGATTTCAAGCAGAATCTTCTAGCAAAATAGTGGTGCAAAATAGTTCTTGCCAATTCTTTTTTTACAATGATAACAATAGTTAGACTTTATTTTAACCTTTTGAAACAAATAAGTCCAGTTAAAGAACACTTTTTCAAAAAGGTTGATGCTCTTTGTAATACAAAGAGTGTATAAAATTCTTCAACATTTAGACATCATAAAATATTCCAATTTTCTGACGATGACTTTGGAATGAATTGTAAATCACAAGATGTTTACAACTTGCACTATTCAGCAAAAAATTATCCCCTAGGTGGCTGATTACAATTTAAAGGAGTTTCGTGTTCGGGATTTGCATTGGATAGTAGCTGAAATTTGTGTAGTCTTCAAACACTTTTTCAATATAGTCTACTAGTAAACAGTGTAAGTTCCCTTACTGTTACCAAACACAATAAATATTCGTTGCTCTGTGGCTACATGAACCATCCGTAATGGAACTGATTAATAGTACCACGTAAAGTGGAATTTCGCTGCATTGTTGTAGCTTACATGACGTACGAATTTAGAATTTGTATTATGATTTGAGGATTGTGGAAAGAATGATATGATAATTGTCAGTGTTTGCTTCACAAATGAAAGGATTGCTGTTCTTTTGATACACACTGTGTGTGTTCCACTATTCCAGTCATATACAATCATCTGTATTAGTTTTTGCAGGATGCAAAGAGGCACGAAATGCCGTTGCAAAATACAGTTCAACACCTGAATGCATTGTGGATGCTGAAGTACATATTCCTGCTCCATAACGATAGGGACACTTGTTGATAGCGATATTCAAAGAGTATTTAAGAGCTATTCATGTCAACATGTTTTGTTGTTGCCTTAAAGCCATCATCGCTAATTTTACTTCAAGCAGCTTTATTGATGTCTACTTTAACATGAAGGACTCCTTCTTATGAAGGCAGAAAAATCTAGCTTTTCCTCCTCTCCCACCCCCTTTCTGCCCCTCCACCAAGTTTTGGCATTCCATTGTATATTTCTTTAAAATACAACTCATTGACAACGGTTATCCAAAATGTGGCTGTTTTCTTGCGTTTCATCTCGTTATATCATTTGCAGTGAGTAATATTCTTAAGCAACGATTTTTAATTTACACAGGGTCATAGCATCCTTGTTGAATACACTTATCTCACCACCCCACTCGTCTTCCTCTCAATAAGTTTTTAATAAGGAACAAAATTCATTTAAGATTTAAGTGTTTCAGTCTCATCATTTAAAATACCTGAATGTGAATGCAAGTAACGTATGCACCTACTTAAAATGTACAATGTCTATCAAGATGAGGAGATCTTAGAAAGCAGCTCTACCTGATTTTGACAGAAAAGAGAGAGTCGGAACTTTTCACATGAAAACTTCAATGAAAACGCCTACACTTCTAGGTTTATGTTTTTTTCTTTACAGGATGTTGTGTTGCCCATGGGTTGCTCTGGAGCAATCGAGATAGCATTGAACGCCCCCAGTTGATCGTGGTGATAACATCCTAATTCCAAGACCTGGTTTTTTTCTTTACAAATGCATCTGTGGATCGCGGAAGATTGAGACACGATTTTTTAAACTCATTGTAAGTTTGTACAAGTTAAAGATCTTGAGTTTACGTTACTGTTTAAGTTTAAAGACTGTTATAATTAAGTTCTAATTATGCTAATGAAGATTAAGGACTGTTCTAATAATCATGATAATGGTGATCAAAGAATATTCAAATTATGTTCTGATTGTGATAGTGGTAATCAATGACTTTTACAATTTATTCTTCAATGAAGTCAAACAGTCAGTAGTTCAAAGGATTCCCTACAAACTAACCTTGAGTGTTGATTTGGACTTTATGTTCAAATGAATATTGATTATTTATAATTTTCAGCCTGAAAATGGTTGGGAAGCCAACTTTGACGATATGGCTTCACTTATTGAGGAGAGAACAAAGCTTATTGTCGTTGTAAACCCATCAAATCCCTGTGGTTCTGTATACAAAAGAGAACATTTGGAAGAAATTTTAAACAGTAAATATTTCAAGACATGTACAAGTTTTTTCCGCCGATTTGACCAAAAATTTTCGTACATTCATATTGGTCTTAATTTCTTACAGTTGCTGAAAAATACCGCGTCCCAGTTCTGTGTGATGAAGTTTCGCGCATGTCGTAAGTGTTCGTTAACTGCATGTCACGTGACGACTTGTAAATACGTTCATGTTTCAACTAATGTAAGGTCATCACGATTGTAATATTTGCTTAAACATGAACGCTTCAAAATATTTGCGTGTCTCAAAAGTGGGTTTGGTCAGGTTATGGGTAAGGCAAGCCGCCATCTTGAAATTTGGCAAAACTTACAAAATTTACGACGAATATCTATTTTTCCTGTCGAGGTTTGGTTTTTTAAATAAATGTTTGGAATTGGTTTTAAGACATCTTTCAAGATGGCGTCCTTGCCTCACGTCGACACGGTTGTTAGACATGCAGCGGTTGGGTTCTAAATTTTATTGGTACAGCCCGAGAAGGTGGTCAGGCTTGGCAACACTGAATAAGGCTTAAACTAAATTAACTTTTTCTCACATTTACTGCAGACATTCGGCAAAGAGCCTTTCAATAGCATGGGAAGTTTAACAAAGAATGTTCCTGTTCTAGTTGTCGGTGGCATTGCCAAAAGGTGAGCATGCGCATTTCTATTGCATTACGTCATTTTGAGGAAACCCTATAACGTTGTGTGTCAATGACAGGTTCTTGGTGCCAGGTAGGCGTATCGGATGGATTGTAATTCACGACAGAAATGATTCCTTTCGTTTTAAGGTATGAATATATCGCTTGCATAGATCTCATAATACACTAGATCACGTGTGGACAACATACGGCCCGAGGGCCGGGTCCGACCCCTGAAGGGATTTGGACTGGTTAGCCGACTGTATCTGAGTCGACTCCGATTTTGCCCATCTATTGTAAACGTCGCCTACTACTGGGTAACAAAGTGACTGTTACATGCTTGTAAATGTAGATCGTCCAAGTTGGTATAGTCCTGAGAAGGACTGTTTTTGTTGTTGTTGACTGACGTTTGGACAACCTAACCGGTAGTCATCTTCAGAGTCAAATGAGGAGTAAACGTCAGGTTAGCCGTATTTGTTATCTGGTTCTTACGTCATTGTATTGTGTGTCTGCTGGTGGATTTGAAACTCTGAATATCCTCTTGTGTGTTCAGCGGGACTTAATTCTGAGTCCTGCCGGAACGAGACCAAAATCCTTGCAGTGGTGTTTTCGTTCAGTTTGCCTACACACAAGACTACACACAAGACAAACCTGCACACAAGACTAACCTACACACAAGACTACACACAAGACTAACCCACACACAAGACTAACCTACACAAAAGACTCACCTTCACACAAGACTAACCTACACACAAGACTACACAAGACTAACCTACACAAAGACTCACCTACACACAAGACTAACCTACACACAAGACTAACCTACACAAAAGACTCACCTACACACAAGACTAACCTACGCACAAGACTAACCTGCACACAAGACTAACCTAACATGCCACTAATTACAATAATTCCAGTGCTATCTCACAACATTTACTAAATTGTCCAGACGCCAACTACATCTCACACCTTTTCTCACTTCCTGACGTTGACTCCGACCCCGATCTCACACGCGCGCCACTTAATCCTTGTAATTTGATTCCTAGTAACACCAAAATCTTATATCGATGTAATAATAATAATCCTGATCAACTTCTCATCTTAGAAACGCTTTTGGTAAAACGCAATATGCCACAACTTAATAGTGGTCTCAAAGCTTGTAAGAAATTACCTCTATTTTAATGTAAGTATACTGCCTGATTGTTTAGTCTTATAGTTCTCTAATTACATAACTGTTATTTCCGCTTGTAAATATTATATAAACGTTTCGCTGCCTGCATTGTAAACTATTAGTCTGATGATGTCTTGGGAATAAAGACGAAATATTACACCATCTTTTGTTTCAAACTCTTGTATTATCTTGAATATCAAGAAAACGAGATGTCCCTTTTCGGAATTTGTTTTACTTTGTTTTACTTGAAATTGTCTGCTTGTCCTGGTCATTTGTCGTAAATAATGTTTCCATAATTTTGTAAAAGCACTATTGCTAATGCGCATTTAATATACACGACGACTTTTTTTAGAATAGACATCTTCTGAAGATGGCATCATGAGATGTCGAAACAAACCCTTATACCAAGTCATTGTAATAACCTTTTTGGGATTAGATGGGATAAGGGCCTTTCTCTGATCTCTAAGTTAACACAGTCCTCACACAAGCTCTGCAAATAAAAGTCGGGGGGAGCTTACATTCTTTAGTTTGATGTTCATTTATCAATCATTTTTCAATATTATATTGAAGACGCTTAATGCGTCTGGACGAACTTGGGCAAGAAATTTTTGTTTTTCTGGTCTTCAGTGTAAAGACGGGCACAAGACACATTATACGTCACGACGAATAATCAATGGTTATTCGTGTCTAGACAAAGAATCGAACATAGTTCGTCTATATGTTTGTAAATGATGATCGTCCAGGTTAATAAAGTCCCGAGAAGGACTGTTTTTGTTGTTGTTGACTGACGTTTCGACAACCTTAGCGGTAGTCATCTTCAGAGTCAAATGAGGAGTAAACGTCAGGTTAGCCGTATTTGTTATCTGGTTCTTACGTCATTGTATTGTGTGTACAGGAAATGTGTATTGTCATTGTGGATTGGTGTGAAGTGAAATATTTTATTTTTAGTTGTGATGTGTGATTTAGGTGTGACGTATTTAGTTGTAATGTGTGGATGTCAATTGTGTATTGTCATTGTGAATTAGTTTGAAGTGTAGTGTTTTTAGTTGATCGTTTGTTTGTATTGTGAATAAGTCATTTGTAAGGTGCCGGTAATTGCTGTGATCTGTTCAGGGGGGTTTGTTCCAAGTTGGTATACCAACTTTCTAATGTAAGCCGTTGTCTATAGTCAGTACTGTAAGTGATACATTTGGCCCAGTCAATGTTGTGCTTTGTGATTCGGTGATGTTCGGCAATGTGATTAGTTTTGTCTTGTTTCTTAGTAGCTCGTTTGTGCTCAGTAAGTCTTATGTTTAAGTTCCTGCCAGTTTCCCCGATATAGGAGGAACCAATACTTACAAACCCAACGAACCCAACGAAACGAAAAACTCAGTGACAACAGCAACGATTTGGCCCAGTCAATGTTGTGCTTTGTGATTCGGTGATGTTCGGCAATGTGATTAGTTTTGTCTTGTTTCTTAGTAGCTCGTTTGTGCTCAGTAAGTCTTATGTTTAAGTTCCTGCCAGCTCCCCCGATATAGGAGGCGTGGCAGTCGGAGCAGTATATTTTGTAAACTGCACCTTGTCGTTCGTTGGGTTGTTCTTTGTCCTTTATGTTCGTTAGTACTTGTCGTAAATTTGTGATTGGTTTATGTGCGACACGTATGTTGTATGGTCGTAAGATACGCGAGATAGTCTCAGACGTACCTTTGATGTAAGGTATCGTTGCTGTTGTCACTGAGTTTTTCGTTTCGTTAAGTTCGTTGGGTTTGTAAGTATTGGTTCCTCCTATATCGGGGAAACTGGCAGGAACTTAAACGTAAGACTTACTGAGCACAAACGAGCTACTAAGAAACAAGACAAAACTAATCACATTGCCGAACATCACCGAATCACAAAGCACAACATTGACTGGGCCAAATCGTTGCTGTTGTCACTGAGTTTTTCGTTTCGTTGGGTTCGTTGGGTTTGTAAGTATTGGTTCCTCCTATATCGGGGAAACTGGCAGGAACTTAAACATAAGACTTACTGAGCACAAACGAGCTACTAAGAAACAAGACAAAACTAATCACATTGCCGAACATCACCGAATCACAAAGCACAACATTGACTGGGCCAAATGTATCACTTACAGTACTGACTATAGACAACGGCTTACATTAGAAAGTTGGTATACCAACTTGGAACAAACCCCCCTGAACAGATCACAGCAATTACCGGCACCTTACAAATGACTTATTCACAATACAAACAAACAATCAACTAAAAACATTACACTTCAAACTAATTCACAATGACAATACACAATTGACACCCACACATTACAACTAAAAACGTCACACCTAAGTCACACATCACAACTAAAAATAAAATATTTCACTTCACACTAATCCACAATGACAATACACATTTCTTGTACACACAATACAATGACGTAAGAACCAGATAACAAATAAGGCTAACCTGACGTTTACTCCTCATTTGACTCTGAAGATGACTACCGCTAAGGTTGTCGAAACGTCAGTCAACAACAACAAAAACAGTCCTTCTCAGGACTTTATTAACCTGGACGATCATCATTTACAAACATATAACGATACTCCCGGGTTCAAACCATTTAGTTTATAGTTCGTCTAGTCGTATAATACGTCAGTCGGTATAAAGACGGCACTTAGACGAATAACTCAATAAAGTGAGAGAGATTATTCCCAAAATCAATAAGATTTTCTCGTAATTATCAAGTTGTTCGTCTGAAACTTCATTGTGCTTACAATTTGTTAACATGACACAGCAATTGATCGCAAATCTTTCTGGTAAGCTTGTGCTTTGAATGTATGTCACATGTTTATGGGTGATAGCATTCTTTAAAGCAATGGAATTGGTATAATAGTTAATTCATATTACAACTTCAAAAGGTAGATCTATGAAACAGTAGAAAAAGATTATTTATCTTGGTTATAAATCAGCTATTACTAATTATGCAAGTGACTCGTAAAATGTGCTTACAACCAAACATTGTGTACATCATACATACTCTATATTGTTCAATGAATAATCAGTAATAACATTCTTTTTCACATGACTTTCTTCGTTGCTAAGATTATTTGACTTTAGATAACCTTTGCTTTTCTCTGTAGTGACAATATCATCAAGTAGAAACTTCATTTCGCCAGGCTTTCTCGATTGTTTAATTTCATCTTGACATGACTTTTGTACTTATGTTACGCAGACTGGTGAGAGATGACGTCATATCATGGTGGATCTTCCAGATTAAGAGATCGATAAGGCAGTTCGTTCTTCGCCTTAGCACAATCAAGATTCAAA